ACGTCCTGCCAGCCTGGCCTCACCTCATTCCCCATCCTTTTTCCTCCCACCAGGCACTAAACTACTTTTCCAGGTGGCACAGAGCTGAGCCACTGCCCAGAACCCATGGGCCTCCCCTTTGCAGCTCTGAGGGCCAGACCAGACTCCCTACAGGGAAACTGAACTGAGGCCCCCTGCTTTTCGCAGGTCCTCAAGTGCTGAGAGCAAAGGACAGCTTCTCCTGGGACCAGAATCCCTGCCAAAGCCACCCAAGGTTTGCAAGAGGCCTGAGGCTGCATCCCCAGTTGAAGGGTTCTGCAAACTCCTGCCAAACAATGCTAAGGATTCTTGAGTCCAGCTGCTTTTGAGAAATCTTTAAGAGGAAAAGAGCAAATGAGTTTCCCAGGAACCCCCAAGCCCTGGCAGTCACCCAGGCCGGTTTGCGGCCCTGGGAGCCCAGTGCCAGGGAAGGAAAACGACGTGGCACTCCCTCTAGTGGCAAACGTCCCGCACAGAGCCCGGCAGCTCGCCAGCCAGACTTCCCTGCAGAGCGGACTCTCCCGCCGGACCCGTGGCCATCCCTTGGGAGGGGAGCGGGCACCCGCCCGCTCGGCTGTGGGGAGCAGGGGCATCTCACCGGTGCCTGAGGAAAGACCGTGCTGCAGCCAGGGAGCCCGTCCAGCCTCAAAGCCACTCCCGCCGGGGGTTCACAGCCCCATCCCCTGACCTGCCTCTGTTAGGCCAGTGCCAGTTCAGGGAGGCCGTGTGACCTGCCCCAATCTGAGCTCTCTGCAAAACACCTGCCTCTGAGCTGCTTTGCCAAGCCAAGCAGTCTCATCCTTCCAGCACTCATTAACCGCTCAGGAAGCTCCCCCTGAACAGCCCCCTGGGGGTCTCCCTCGGCCTCCAGCCCTACCCTGCTGCCGGGCCACCAGACTTGGTCCAGACGCCCCACCTACCCCTTGGGGACACTCTCTGATTCATCTCTGTGTCCCCAGCACCGCGCACAGTGACTGTCTGTGAAATTCATACAAGAATGAAGAAATAAGGGGCGCCTCTGTGGCTCCCTGCTCCAGGTCTGCTTCTCCCTCTCCCACTCCCCCTGCTTGTGTTCCCTCTCTTGCTGTGTCTCTGTCAAATAAATAAAATCTTAAAAAAAAAAAAAAAAATGAAGACATAAAACCGTATTTGCTGCGGCAAAAGGTTTCTCCACACAGAGATGATTTTTCCTGCCAGAATCCCCACAATACCCTCTCTGTGCCCAGTGAGTTATGCTGGGTCTTGACCGTGTGCAACCTTTACATATTCCTTTCCACCCTGCTCTGTTCCCAACAAAACCTAGCTCCTTGAGGATAAAGGCCATGTCCAATTTGTCTCTTGGTCAAGGTCCCCAGAAGAATCCTGAGAAAGTATTTAAGGGCGGGGGGGCGGGGAGGGAGGGAGGGGGAAGGAGAGGGGGAGGAGCTATTATCCGGGTCCAATCAAAGCTGCCGTTTGATAGAAACCCACTCTGATTGGCCTGCTCGGTCATGCGCTCATCAAAGAGCCAGGGGTGCTCTTACAGGAATTTAATCAATCTTAACAGCTTTGTTGACATATAATTCATATACTAGCACAAAGTCTGCTTCTCTCTCTCCCCCTCTCCGTGTCCCCCACCCCCTGCTCAAGCTCTCTCTCTCTAAAATAAATAAATAAATCTTTAATAAAAAGATAAGGAGCTCAGATTTTATTCTCAGTGCAACAGGGTTCAGTGAAAAGTTTTGGAGAAGAGGGTAATGGGATCCAACTCAAGTTTTTCAAACAGTGCGGCGTGCACAATGATTGGCGAGCAAGAGAAGAAGCACTAAGCCCTGGTAGGAGGCATTGGTGGACGTCCGGGGAAGGGATGCCTGCCACGGACAGGGTGAGGCAAGTCACACTGGAGAGAAGGGAGGAGATTCACTTAAATTCTGGAAGTAGAATCAACCCGCCTCGCTGATGAAAGCATAAAGAGGAGGAATCACAGACGGCTCCCAGATTTGGTTTGTGGAACTAGGTAAATGATAGAGCCATCTTCTGATATGGGGAAGAGTGGAGAAGAAAAAGAGTGTGGGGTAACATCAAGAGCTCGGTTAGAGACACCGATGGTTTAACACCCGCCCCCCCCCCCCCCCCCCCGGAGAGGTTGTTGGATAGAGGAGACAGTCCTTCCTAGAGAAGCAAATTAGGGACTGTCACAATAGAGGTGGCATTTAAAGGCACTGGGTATGGATGAGATCACCTGGGGAGATCTCTGAAGCTTCTGAAGAATTTCCTTATCCCTGTGCCTCTGGGTGCCAAAACAATAGGCCAGTTCTGCCAGTTTAGAGAAGGAAAAAACTTCGCAGATGTTTCTGGACATTTGGTGCCATGTAAATAAAATGGTTTGACTGAGCAACTTTTTCTCCAGGCAATCATGGATTTGTTTCCACCTGGCACATAGAGAAACACAAACCATTCCTGTCCCCCTGACCAGAGGAGAGCAAAGGGGCAGCCAGCCAGACCCAGGGTAGCAAGTGGGCTAGCCCCCAACATGGGGAAAATGTTCCTACCAAGCGGTCAGGTTGCATGTCGATCAATTACCACTGCAGCAGAAATGGTGTGACAACTCAACCATGACCAACCAGCAAGGCAGACAGGACTGACACTCTCTGGACTTTAGGAAAGTGGGGAGACTGGAGCTCCATGGGTCCATACTGAGTGACAAAGGGAAGGAAGACGCTTGGCCAGTTCTGACCATCCACATTTCACCCCCAACAGCCACCACCACCACCACCATCATCCTCACTCTGTTAATGGGAGACACTGGTTTTGCCCAATAAAAATCTGCAGAAACATTCCCAAGGTTTACTTTTCTAAAAACTCAGCATTGACTAAAGAATTTGCCCATTGAGGAAAGATGGTATATTTCTAGATTTCTGGGGCATAATCACACTGTTTTCATGATTTTACCAGAAAACCTAGGTGAAAAGGGAAAGCTTCTCAAGACTCCCATTCCAGAGGCAAAGATAATTTCAACTTTCACTGTTTACAAACGCAATGACTCAGCCTCTTCTCTCAGCCTTGGGGAAGTGTGGGTGGCAGGCACAGGCTAGAGAGGAGGAATTAGCAGAGTTTGTTCACATGTGGCTTTGTCCAATCATTTCTGAATGATGGGGGTGACGCGGATATAAACAAACTAGTTAGTGTCAGTTGGGGTTTAACTTACGGTGGAAAAGAAAGACACCATCATTACCCAGTTATCATGACTTATCATGACGATGAGCCAAGACCCAAAGTGGACAACACCAGAACCAAAGAGAGGAATAACCAGTCCTCATTTTCAGGGACACCAAAGAGCAAAGAAGGTTACGACTAAGGCAGGTGCAAAGTTGACAGCAAAGCATGCCCACACACATCAAAGGCCAAGTAATTCAGAATCTGACGTTGCTGGGACTCATGGGGAGACGGTGCTGGGAGGGCAAGCCACAGAGGGCAAGCTGAGAGGGTCCTGGAAGATTCAGAAGAGGAACAGATGATACACCACCAGCAGGGAATGGGCCCGAGCAAAACTCCAGCAGGGGCAGTGGGGAGACCAGTGTAGACATGACATAGAATGCAGGGGTGGGGCTCGGGCAGGCAGAGCAATAAGGTGAGTACCAGGGGGATCCAATCTGACCTGAAGCCATATGTACACATGTTACCACCCTGTGATCCCACCTGAAACCCCTCAATAGGCCCAAGTGAACTCTGTCCTGACTCCACATCCACTCTGCAAACACATGGACAAGCTGGCTTAAAGTTGTAGTGTGTTTTGTTAGAACTCAAACCTCGTCCTCCTTTGCTAAGCTTGGAATCATATAGATATTTTGGGGGAAAGAGAGAGCAGGTTAACAAATTGTGTCATTCTATCCCAAAATAAAGCCCCCCAAACCCCCCTCCCCACTCCAATTTCCCAAGATAACTGACTCTCATAAAGCCATGGCATTTATAGCCCACTATTCATTTTTATTTTAAAAGATTACAAGAGGTGCACAAATTGCAGGGTGCAGACCACCTCTGGCTCTATCTGTTTGGTGAAAAGTTTGCCCCCCAAATAACCAAAATATGTTATTTTACTTAAAAAAAAAATCTGAAGGGTGCATGTTCCAGATTCCCAGTTTGAGCGCATGTAAAAGAGAGACTCAGAAATTTAGTAAATGTGAAACCTTATCCACTTGCCAAAATTCTATTCAGAGTACTCACCAGCCCAATTTTTGGCAGACTTCTGTGTGAGGTGGGCGGGGCCCATAAGGAAAGCTGAGGGTGGAAAAGTGCCCCAAGGCCTGCGGGATGCTCCCAGGGCTGGTGGCCACATGCAGAGGGGAGGAGGCCTGGCTGTGCAGGGCTGGGGCTGTAGGGGCCTGACCCAAAGAAGGTGACCAAATTACTCTGTCCAAGGGGTTCATCAATCCATGTCGACACTGATGTTAAAAAGCACCATGATTTTTTGGAAGTGGCTTCCAATGTGATTTTGTGAATCCAGGTTTTTTTCTTTTCCCTGCATCCCTCCTGCCTGGCTAAACAATGAGGCTTGGTGCCCAGTGAAGGTGGGAAAAGGTCTCAAAGAAGTTCACAGGGGGCGCCTGGGTGGCTCAGTCGTTAAGCGTCTGCCTTTGGCTCAGGTCATGATCTCCAGGTCCTGGGATCGAGCCCCGCATCGGGCTCCCTGCTCGGCGGGGAGTCTGCTTCTCCCTCTCCCTCTGCCTCTCCGCACTGCTCCTACTCTCTCTCTCTCTATCTCTCTGTCTCAAATGAATAAATTAAAAAAAAAAAAAAAGTTCACAGAGCAGAGAAGCAAGGTACATCATAAAGAAGCTCCCAACTACCTGAAAAATGAAGTAGAACATCCTCCAATGCCAGTGGAGGGGCTGGAAAAGAGAGGGCAAAGTGTGGTGAGGAGGGTAGACATGAATTTCTGGCTCTCTTCAGAGGTTGAAACTTCTGCGGGCAGAAGAGAGACTGGTAGGGTCAGCCTGACAGGGGTGAAGGGAAATCCCCCCGCACACAGCAGCTTACTCCTGACTTCCCAGGGCTGATCTCAGGAAAACCAGTGTGCCCACAGAAAAACTGTCTCTTGCACAAGGTGTTCAGCACGGCACACGGTGGTAAATTAGGTGGTAAATTAGGCTGCGGATGTGTCCAGGTGGCCCAAGATGGCACTCCCTCCTCATCTCCTGTGGTCCAAAGAGTGTTGCGTCAGGAACTGAGAAGCTTCCTCCCGCCAAGCCCCAGGATCCATGGCCGAGCTCTGCCTGAGCCAACAACACAGGAGACAAGTCCCTCCCCCTCCCCCACCCAGCAGTGGGCACCTCATCGGTGGAGCTGGTGAGGCCAGAGGCTGCCCCCAGGACAAGTGGACAAGCATGTCAACTGGTGGACCAGCAAGCCCATCAAAGCTGGAGAAGTGAAGACATCCTGTGCCTGGGCACCCTCCTAAGAAAGTGGGCAGGAGGAGGAAGGGGAGAAGAGCCCATTGGGGGAGGGGGGAGTCACAGACCTGAAGGAGAGTATATACTTTAATTGGTTTATTTACTGGGGTGTGGGGAGGGGCACCCTTCAGGCCAGAAGAAATCATGCTACCTTCGGTTGTCAAGGTTAAAGACTGCTCGTGCTGGTGGTAGTGTTTGTGTTTTTGTTACCATTGCTGTTTTTCCTGCCGCCAGAAGGAAAGCAAGATGAGACTAGTTCTGGAAAAATGTTTTACAGCGACATTTTCCTGCACGTGCTCCTATTTGGCAATAGCATTTCAGCGCCTTCGCCACCCACAGTGTCTAAAGGACCTATTACGGATGGGCACGCATGGCAGCAGAAATCTCAGGACTGTGCCACCTGGCAAAGTCCCATCTGTGGCAGCACCTTCGTCCTAGCCTGGGCCCAGCTGTGTTGAAGGAGGACTCTACCAGCAGCCGAGGGCACAAGCACGGAGCCCAGCCCTTCCCAGAGCAGCCTGCAGGGGCCAGGAAGGACGTCCAGCACCAGCCAAGCATTCGGCTCAAGGAGAAGTGGGGTTCCAGGCAGGGAAACTAGAACTGACTCCAGTTTATAATCTGGAGAGACTTGCTAAAGTTTCTGTGGGACAACAGCAACTCAGGGGGTCATTTCCGAGGGGACGTTCACAGCAAGATAACTTCAGCAGTAGCGCCCACCCACTGAGCCAGGCTGGACTCCCAGGAACAGAGGCTGCTGATTTCCCAGAGGTGACAGCCCCCTCTGCTCTCCCCTTCCCCAATCTCCCACTGATGTGATGAGATAACATAATGCATTCAAAAGCACGTCGTCAACTGCAAAGTGCTATACAAAAGCTGGCATAATTATTCATATTAGCCCTGGGTTTTTTTCTTTTTCCAGTATTTGTGCACTGATAAATCATAAAAGACTTCCTGCCTGAGCCTTTTCCCTTCTTTCTTTGCCTGTGAACTCCTCAGTCCTACAAAGTGAGTCCTTTTATTGGAGATGTTTTTCATTAAAATGGACAAACAGCTCCTGCCTGTCTCAGTACTGGGGCCATGGGAGGCCTCTGTCAGTACCTGCCTTGTGGGACGGAACAGGACTGGAAGGAATGCCACCCCATACTGATGTGGAAAAGAGGGGGTGAGCAGTGTGACCACAAGCCAGCATTTAAGGAGGCTACAGTTCATTGTTTGCATGTGAACCTCATCCCTGGAGGGTTTTCAGTCTTCCAGAGGGCAGCAGTCACTTCTTCTGTATCTCTTAAATCTACCGGTGTCCTTCCCAAGGCTCCAGCCTTGTTCAGGAAAAGAGTGCTTGGCTGATGCATTAGTCATTGCTCAATAGCCGAAATGCTCATTAAATCCATAAATCAGTGCCTGGGCTCCAAGCCCAGATCTTGTAGGGGAGACGCTAGAGTAAAGGGCAGGAGGCCTGAGTTCTGGTTCTTAACGGCCACACGTTTCAGGTGGGACTTTGGAAAAGTCCCCTCCCTGTTTGGACTATAGTTTCTTCATCTGTAAACACAAGAAAGTGGATAAAAGAGTTTTTGAGTGTGTGAACCCACATTTTATGATTCCATCTATCCCCCTGCTCTCCTGGACAACACAAACAAGACAAAACTGGATAAAATAATCTCCGACAATTTAGCAAAAGGAATAGCCCTATTCTTAATGAGATTCAAATGAGGTTAAGACTGATTTTTATTAGATTTTGCAGTTATTTAATGCTATTAGAATATTGTTGATAGGATGGTTAAAAATTGTGAGTGAAATGTAAGTAAATGATTCATTTAAATCTGGATCTAAAAATATAATAGAGCCAACAGAAGGACCCAGAGTGTGGTCAAGCAGGGGAGCCAGGGGGTGGCAGGAAAATGGGTCCAGAGCTGCAGAGAGTGCACCGTGAGCTTGCCACATGCAGCCTCAAGAATGAGAACGGGGAGGGGGGTGGGAGGATGGGTTAGCCTGGTGGTGGGTATGGAGGAGGGCACATTCTGCATGGAGCACTGGGTGTTATGCACAAACAATGAATCATGGAACACTTCATCTAAAACTAATGATGTAATGTATGGAGATTAACATAAGAATAAAAAAAAATACCTAAAAAAAAAAAAAGAATGAGAACAAAGAACAAGTGATGAATCCGAGCCCTTGAACTCTGACGATAACCGGTACATGTGTACCTCTAAGTTACATGGAATCAGAATTTTCAAAAACTTGCAACAAAGTTAATACTAAAATCATAATCTGCCTAGCTTAACTTTGAATCTTTGATGATGTGAAATGTTCTGCTTTGACTTTAAATTATTGTGGCACATGCAGATTTACACATACACACACACACACACACGCACATTCCTGAATAACAAGAGCACAGGACTGAGCTACTTCCCAGACTCTGCCATGAGAAGTCATAGCATAACATTTGGAACATGGTGGGGGGGGGGGGGTGCTCAGTTCCACAAGCATTAGCAATGATGTGATGATGATGATGATGATGATGATGATGATGATGTGATGATGATGATGATGTAATGATGATGATGATGATGTGATGATGATGATATGATGATGATGATGTGATGATGATGATGATGTGATGATGGTGATGATGATGATGATGTGATGATGATATGATGATGATGATGGCTATGATCACAACAATAACAAGAAAAATACAGAGGCCATGTAACAGGGAGATCTCGCCTGGGCTAGAAGTTAGTAGTCCCTCCTGGAGGGAGTGATGTCTCAGCAAGCAAAGAGGAAAGAAGGACCCCCACTTCCACCTGCAGGCAGACCAGTGTGGCTACCAATTAGCTGCCAGCAGAAACTGCCATGGGTGTGATTCTGTTTGTTGGGTGCTCCTCCCAGCAACTGTCTCTATCCAAGCTTTGGACTTCACCCCATCTTGTAGCATTTCTAGCCTCACTTCACCTCTCCGGACCTGAATCTCAGCAATGCTGAATATGTGCTCCCCTGGAAGCTGCTTTTAAAAATAAGTCTTTGAGGTAAGTTTGTCTCTTTCTCTAATAGCAACACATTTAACCATGAGCAGTCCTATGAAGTTAGCAGAATTAGCATCCTCACTGAACATGGAAAGAGGCTGGGGCAGGCAAGAACTGGATACTGCATGCTCTTTTAAAGAAGAGGAAACTGAGGCATAGGAAGGAAAGTACCTTGCCCGCATTCATATAACCTGAAGCAAGTGGCAGGGCTGTGGTAAATCCAATTCTGTCTGTCCCCTGAGACTATGTGTGACAATAGTGTCTCATTCTCAACACACTTTATTTTGAGGGTTTGAGGCTCGCCCACGAAGCTGTGAGCTCTACAAAGTCAGACACATCACCTGTGTTGTTCACTGCTCTAGGCCTTAGCACAGTACTTGGCGAGGGGATTGAGTAGGGCCTCACCTCACCGTTGACTGAACAAATAAAAGAGCGAATGAATTCTGTCTACTTCAGGAGGTGCTAAAGGAAATGAAGGCGAATGTGTTTCGGTGGTGCTTATATTATACATATAGGAAGGGAAAAGACGTTTGAAGTATGGTTTTTAGCAACTCAGTTAGTTGGGATGTAAACAAGAAACAGCAAGCCCTCCAAGTATGCGTACACAGGGTATTTCATAACACTGAGTGGTGTTCCACGTGACAGAGAGGCTGGGAAGGCAACGGCAGATGGTAAGGTGCCCTAAAGATGAGTGCAACAGGAAACGACTGTCATCCTTCAGCTGGAGGGACAGAGAAGAGCCATGGAATTAGCTGAGCTGGGGGTGGGGGTCACTCAGCAGAGGCTGAGAACCACAGTAAGTCAGTCACTGAGAAGGTGGGGCCATGGAACTTGCAGGCTCTGCCAAGGACTCAGTCAACTCAAGACAAAGGGGAAGGGAGAGAAATGCACTGGCTTCTCCCTTCTTCTTGCCTTCAATCTTCCTCCAGTGCCTCTCTTTGACCAAATGCAAGAAGAGCCCTCTGACAGGGGAGCCTGGAAAAGTAGCCAACATGGGTCAGCATCCCCTGATACAGAGCTGGTCAGGGGAGGGAGGAAACAGGCTCTGGGGCAGCACAGGGACTAATCCTACACGGAAGATGGTAAAACTATCTCTGGGCAAAGGAGGGGTTATTTATTTATTTCTTACAAGATGGAAGATTCAGGAGGAACAGGAGGGAGACATTTGGAACAAGCCTGAGAAACAACCACCTCTCGATGTGGAATTCCTGGCTGAGATAGTTGAATGGTGCAGGTTTTGGGGGCTGGGTGTAGTGGAAGATGTTTGCTTTCATTTGGTCATTCACACAAGGGTGCGGCTCCCTGGGAAGCCAGCTACCCAGGGCCCCAGCTTGTCCATTCAGCCCCCAGGCCCCAGAGAAAATGGCCCCTCAACCAAGAGACTAGCTGACTTAGGAGAGTGAGTTCTATGGTCTAAGGATCCATTGTTCAGATCAGTCTAAGTGTCCGATCGTTCCAAAAAGGATTCCCCAATCAAAGCATAGAAGACAGACTGACCACCAGAGCTGCAAGGACCCTATGAGCCTGCCTGGTCCTATGCTACTCCCCACCCCTACCTCATATTCTAAATAAAGTAATTGAGGGCCAGGGATTGAAAGAGGCTTCAACCATGGTCATATTGCAACATAACAACAGAGTCAGAATATCACCTCAGGTCAGGATTTCCAGAGGGGCCAAAGGAGGCATGATGTATAGTGAGTGTGTGTGTGTCTCTCTGTGTGTGTGTGTGTGTGTGTGTAAGTTTGAAAAGGAATGCCTCACAACAATATAAAATGAAAGATGGTAAACTATTTCATAGAGAATCAGTGTTGAAGTAAACTGAGTGATCTGATTGAGAATGATCATACTTGGCACATTAATCCCAATTTTAAAATACAAAATAGTTTGGGGCACCTGGGTGGTTCAGTTGGTTAAGCGTCCGGCTCTTGATTTTGGCTCAAGTTGTGGTCTCAAGGTCATGAGATCGAGCCTCACTTCAGGCTCCATGCCCACCTCGGGCTCCACACTCAGCTGGGAGTCTGCTGGTCCCTCTCCTTCTGCTCCTCTCTCTCTCTCAAATAAATAAATAAATAAAATCTTTTCAAAAATACAAAATCATTAATACTTACAAATTACATTCAATAGAGTTTAATAATTTGTTGTTGAAGGTGTTGAAGAAACCAAAAGACCTTGCCAGCCCTCAGTTGGGGATGTCTCAAAAAGATGCAGGAGATAGAGCTAAATGTGCAATGGCCCTGGGACATGTCCTGGAAACCACTTTTAAAAATAAATCTCTAGAAGCATTTCCAGCAGAGCTCGGCTGCTGAGAGCCAGGACAGACATGCTGTTCCTGGTCCAGGTTCCTGTCCGGGTCCTGCCCAGGCAGCGACTGCAGTAGAAGGAAGGAGGTGTTGGATGTGCTGGCCCACTGCTGAGAAAATGGCCCCTCAACCAAGAGACTAGCTGACTTAGGAGAGTGAGTTCTCTCCTAAGCCCTATCTCAGCTCAGAATGAACTCTATGCCTGGCACCACCAGCCTCATCGAGGACATTGACAAGAAGCACTTGGTCCTAATTCAAGATGGAAGGACGCTTATCGGTTTTATAAGAAGCATTGATCAATTTGCTAATTTGGTGCTACATCAGACTGTGGAGCCTACTCATGCGGTCAAAAAATACAGTGATATACCTCAAGGGATTTTTGTGGTCAGAGGAGGAAATGTGGTCCTACTAGGGGAGATAGTTTTGGAAAGGAGAGTGACACACCCCACCAGCAAGCATCTGTTGAAGAAATCCTAGAAGAACAAAGGGCAGAACAGCAGACCAAGCTGGAAGTTCAAGCTCTGTAGGATCGGGGTCTCTCCACTCCTCAAGCAGATACCTTTGATGAGGATTAGGTCAATTGCTGAGAGGCCATTGCTCTTGGGGAGCAGGGGTTATCACTGAACGAAAGTGACATCCTGGTCACCTCACACATTTGACTAGAGACTGTAGAGTTTTGAAAAGTCATTTTTATTTTGAATTCTTTCACACGTGCAACATGAAAAATCACGTGTCCTTTTTTTCCCCCTTATTAATGGCAAAATCATTGTTCGGAAAGAACAGTGGCATAGTCTCCTTTCACACATCGCTGTGGAGCCAGCAACTACTTTAGATTGCTCTTCTTGTGCCAAATTAGTGTTTACAGGAGACATTCTTCATTTACTTGTAAATAAAATATGAATCTCAAAACTCAAAAATGAATAAACAAACAAATCAATCTCTGGAGACTTTGGCCAAGAGCAACTATAAAAGCTAAATATGGTACATAAAATAACTGTTAAAAGTCACCAGAGAGTAAAAGCAGCCAGGACTTTAGAGCCCAAGGTTCTGGAGAAAAGGGAAATGCAATGAGTAAAACCCAAATTTCTTTCATGTTTTCCCTTCTAGGCATTTGCCAGTTCTCAGGGGGTATCAATGAGATAGAGGAGAAACATTGGCCTAGAACCGTAGCAGCCTAGGTGGTCTGAGAAGCCAAAAATTGAAGTGCAAATCTACCAAAGCAGCGAGAACATAGGGAACTCTTATCCTGGAGAAAGAGCCTAAATAGATATAAGCCAGGCATTCTGCATTTGATTTCCCCTAAAGGAATTGTTTCATTCCTAAGCTTTCCACATGATAGGCAAACGGCCAAGAAACTAAGCAGTAAACAGCTTCTAAAAGGTTGAAAAACCAGCCAGAGTTTGAGCAGCCTCAAAGTGCTAAGGAGAAAAAATATTGATGTCCAGGGGCCACCAAGGAGGAGAAATTTCAGTAAATAACCTAGGTTCTTATTGAGACAGATGAAGAGGATATTATCCTAAGAGATGAGACAAACCAGGCAAAGACCAGCCCTCACAAAGCCTAAAATCCAACCTCAAAAATCTCAATTTCTGACAGGATTGAGGTGTTCTGTCTGCTAGGAAAAAAAAAAAAAAAAATCCTCTCCAATGGAAGGCAAAATTATTCAGAGCCTCAACAATTCTTCATTCCCAATATCCAGTATTCAATCAAAACTTATGCAGCATGCTAGGAAATAAAAAGAAAAGATAAAAGAAATTTAAAAAGAGAGATAGAGGGAGAGACTATAGAAAAACATATAGATGACCTAGATACTGTAGTTATCAAAGACTATAAACCTAGGATTAATGTTCAAACAAATAGATGGAAAGATAGAAACCTAGGACTGAGAAATATGATAACTAAAATTAAGGATTCAATAAACAGGTAATAGGTAGGTTTAACAGCAAATTAGACACAACAGAAAAGAGGATTAGTAAGTTGGAAAATAGGTCAGTAGAAAAATAATCAAACTGAAAGAGAAGAAAAAAGATTAAACACATGTACACATAAAGAGAGACAGAGAAAGAAAAAGAAACAGGGAAAAGAGCATAAGAGACACAGTGAAAAGAACCAACATATGTGGAATTTGAATCCCAGAAGAGAGGAAACGGACCAGAATCAGTATTCGAAGAGATAAAAAGCAAGAATATACATTCAAGTAGCACCGACAAACTCAAACATATAAAATCAAAGAAAAGTACACAAAGGCACATTATGCTAAAGCTTCAAAAAAAAAAGATAAAAAGAAAAATCTTAAGGTAGCCAGAGGAGGAAAAAAATTCAAAAGGTGCAATAAAAAGACCCACTCTACACAAACAATAGAAGCTGGAAGCCTATAAAATGACAGAGCTAAAAGGCTGACAGTCTGTCAGTCTAGAATTCTACATCCACTGGAAATACCCTTAAAAATGAGTATGAAAAAAATTTCAAGCAAATAAAAAATTAGAAAATGTATTATCAACAGACACATATTAAAAAACATACTAAAGGAAGTTATTCTGATAACATGATCCTACTTGGGAGAATAGTAATGCAGAAAGCAATAGATAGCACCAGAAATGGTAAATAGAAGAGCAAATCAAAATGAGTATTAACTCTTTAAAACTGTAGATAATGTCTTGTGGGATTTCAAATACATAGAGAAGTAAAATACACGACCAAAATAGCATAAAACGAAGAATGGAACTGGGTAAATGGAATTAAGTTGTTGTAAGGTCCATGTATTGTCTAGGAAGTAGTAAAATTATTAATTGAAGAATAGATTCTGTGAAGGCATATGGTATATCTTTAGCAGAGTTTGGCAAACTATCACCCACATCCAAATCCAGCCTACAGCCTATTTTATACAGCTTGGGAGCTAAGAATTGTTTTGCATTTTTAGAGAATAGTTGAAGGAGGAGGAGGGAGATGAGAGAGGGGGAAGAGGGAGTCAGTATCCCTCTACACCTAAAATATTTACTGTCTGTCTCTCCACAGAAAAAGTATGCCAACCCCTGCCCTAGGGTAACACTAAATAAATAATAATAGAATTTATAACTAACACACTAGTAGAAGAAGGAATTAGAATAATGAAAAGCACTTTATTAAAAGAAGGCAGTGGAAATAAAAGAAGAACAAAAACCAGATCGAGCAAATTTAAAACAAATAAGATGATAGAATTAACAACAAAAAATCAGGAATTTGATAAATGTAAGTGGGATCAATTATCCAATTAAAATTAAAAGACTATCAGACTGGTAAAAACAACACAAAACAGCAAGACCCAACTATATGCTGCTTACATCAGATGGACACATAAATGTTGAAAGTCAATATGCCACAGAAAGACTAACCAAAAGAAAGCTGGCTTATCTATATTGTTATCAGACAAAGCAAGACTTTAAGGCAAGAAGTATTTCCAAAGATAAAGTGGAGCATTTCACAATAACAAAAATTTGATTCAGCAGCAAGATTTAATAATCTGAAATGTGTATGCATCTAAAAACAAAACTTAAAACATGCAGAGCCCAAACAGAACTAAAAGGAAAAACAAGTAAATCCAATAGCATAGTTGAAGATTTCAAATCCATTTTCAGCAACTGATAGACTAATCAGACAATGAATCAGTAACGATAAAGGGGACTTCAACAACATGAGAAACAAATTTGACCTCGCCAGCATAGGTAGAACACTGAACCCAACAAAAACAGGATGACATTATTTTCAAGTGTGCATGGGATATTTAACAAAATAGACCATATTCCGAATCATAATGCAGATTTCAATAAATTGCAAAGGGTTGAAATTTAAACAGAGTATGTCCTTTTAATCAAGTGTGAAAAAAAAATCCTAAATATGAAACACTTTAAAAATCCTCAAATGTTTGGAAATTACTAAATAACACTTCTAAATAACCTATGATTCAACAACTAAATCAGAAATTAGAAATTTCCATGGAAATTAGAAAATGCTCTGAACTGGATAATAATGATGAAGCAACACGTCAAAAATTTGTAGCACAGCACTTCAACTAGGCTTAAGGGAACAATTCATATCCTTAAATGTATATTTTAGAAAAAAAAAGAATAGCAGAAAATCAGTGATCTAATGACTACCTCAAGGAGTTAGAAAAGAACACCAAATTTAAGGCAAATAAACTAGAAGGAAAGAAATAATAAAGATATAAGCAACAGATGAAATAGAAAAAATATAGAATAGAGAAAAACCAACTAAGCCCAAAACAGAGTCTTTGAAAAGACTAATAAAATTTACAAATCCCGGGCGCCTGGGTGGCTCAGTCGTTAAGCGTCTGCCTTCGGCTCAGGTCATGATCCCAGGGTCCTGCGATCGAGTCCCACATCAGGCTCCCTGCTCGGCAGGAAGCCTGCTTCTCCCTCTCCCGCTCCCCCTGCTTGTGTTCCTGCTCTCGCTATCTCTCTCTCTGTCAAATAAATAAATAAAAATCTAAAAAAAAAAAAAAAATTTACAAATCCCTAGAAAGATTGATCAAGGAAAAAATGGAACACATTATTAATACCACTAATGAGAAAAGGTGTCATCACTAGAAATTCATACAAATATCAAAGAGACAATGAGAAGATGTTATGAATAACTTTGTGCCAATAAATTTTATAATTTAGATGAAATGGACAAATTCTGTTTTAAAAAATCATAACCTGAAAGTATTGACTCTAGAAGAATTATAAAGTCTTAATTATCCTATTTACTAAAACCAAACACTGCATTCCCATGACCTAGCAATTCTACTTTAATAGATATGGCTACCTAGATGCATGGAAAGATGTGTGAAAAATGTTCACAGGGACACTTTCCCTAGTAGATAAAAACTAGAAACTACCCAAATGTCCCTCAATAGTAGAAAGGCTAACTATATCATGGTTACAATGGAATATTATATACAAGAGTGTAAAAACTGAATAGGCAACAACATGGATGAATTTCACAGACACTAATGTTGAGTGAAAAAAGTTAGATACAAAAAGATACATACAGTAGTTCTCCTTTATCTGCAGGGGATATGTTCCAAGACCCCCAGTGGATGCCTAAAACCATGGATAGTACCAAATCTACATATAGTATGTTTCTTTTCCTATACATACATAATGAAAAGTTATGTGAATGTGGTCTCTCTCTCTCTCACACACACACACATACACACACGCAATACAAAATAGCTTATTGTATTGTACTCACCCTTCTTCTTGTGATGATTGATATGAGATAATAAAATGATACATAATAAGATGAAGTGAGGTGGGATGCCAGCATTGTGATGTAGCATTCAGCTATTATTGACCTTCTAAGACTATGTCAGAGGGATTATCTGCTTCCAGACCCCAGGTGAGCATGGGCAACTGAAACCACAGAAAGCAAAGCCTCAGAAAGCAAAACCATGGATAAGAGGGTGGGGGGTGGGGCATCTCCTGAACTGTGTCATTCCATTTATATGGCAAAACGGATCTATTTTCGATAGAACACAGATGTTGACTACTCTATGGAGATAATGTTGGGCAGGGCATACAGGAGGCTTTAGGAGTGTGTGCAGTGTTCTCTATCTTGATCAGAGTATGTTCACTAGGTGAAAATGTATCAGGAAGCATCCTCCATATTGTGTACTTCTCTGAATGTGTAATGACTTCACTTTTTAAACTTACAAATAAATACTAAGTAAGCCTCTGATGCAATTTTGTTTCTGGGACTTTGTCTCTTTCTAACAAAAAGCAGACAGCAGTATAATATTTAACCCCCAATATACTCTCACAAATAGAACTTGAGAGCATTTTAAGAGCTTCCAACCTAAGATCATGCTTTTCCTATACCTTTATTGGAAGAATGATTTCTCTTCTGCTTGGGAATAAACAATTCTCTATATTTGATGGGTCTACAGCATAACAAGGACAGAATGTAAGATTAGAAGAAAAGGGGTTTACCCTATCCTATAAGTCTATCAGAGGGATCAGCCCATGAAAGGAAAGGCATGCCTAATGGAGGGGCCAGTGACCGATTCTGAACTTTCTAACTATTGGGCTTGCAAAAATGGGTATTTACAATGGAACCATCCAAGCATTCAATATTCAGTGTACTCTTCACCCCTAGAGGATTGGATGACTGAAGGGTGCCTTTCACACCAGAGGGGTGGACAATTTTGCAGAACGATGGGATTCACCAGACAAGTCCTCCCACAAAATAGGGATTTCTGGAGAGGAAAGAAAATCTCACTGGAAACAAATTAAAAAAGTAAAAAGATAAAGCTGTTTTTGCCATGGTAACTAAGGTTTGCCCATACCTAGATTTATTTCCTTGACTGAAGTGGCTTTGTGGGTGTAAGTGATTTTTGAAGAGCAAATTAAAAAGACTTTTTATAAGTCCCAGTAGACAACAACATAGTATTAGCTAATGGCACTTGCCATCTCTAAAATAATTACTTTTGTAATAATCTGTTTATTAATGAGGTGATCTACAAAGTGGATAATAGTTTCTTAAGATTTCAGGCACAGGATTCTTCTTTCCAGTTCATTTTGCTTTTTTTGCAAAAGTACACCATGAAGTAACTCAAAATTTGCTGACAGATTTTAAGTACAATAATTTCAGAAATGCATGTTCAAGCAGGTTGAATAAACCCATATTTCTTGTATTGTGCCCTTAAATTATTCCCTCTGGTGATGGAAATGTTCTAAAATTGCTTGTGGTTGATGGTTGCACATCTCTGTAAATTTACCAAAATTGATTGAATTGCACACTTAAAATGGGTAAATGTTATGGTCTATAAATTATAACTCAATAAAGCTGTTTTGGGGGAAAAAAGCAATTGGACATTTAAAAAATTATTTCCTGTTTCCACTCTTTTGTCAGAGGAATGTTGAGCGTTGAGAAGGGAACATTCTGGGGAAAGATGGCAACTATACAAAAGGTAGATGCAAGACGGAGAAAAGAAGATCCAAGAGTCCTAGTGGCCACAAGCTAAACAAAGAACACAAGTGAGCAGCAGAATGTTACTTTTAAGAAATCAAGCCTCCTATTGGGAAATGTTCTAAAAGCAGCACTTTCTTGTCCTAAGGCCAGAGTTCTGGCAGAAAAACAGGGTCCTGGGTACTCCCAAACGCAGCACTTCTTCACTTGCTACTCCTGCTAATTCCTTTTATCTTTGTTAATTACCACTCTGTGTAGTCCTTGGGTTACTGTTCCTGCTACTTCCTTTTATCTTCATTAATTACCACCTTGTTTATTCCTTATGTTGTCTGGTAAAGCCTAGCACCCACAGGCATGTGGACTGGACCTCTATGAGGGCAGGAACTGTGTTGTATTCCTCCTTGGATCCAGGGTCAGTGAAAACCCCAGCCAGTGCCAGGCACAAAATAGGTATTTAGTAAGAACAGTTTCTGCCTTTCCAGCCCAGTGTACAAACAAGTTGTCCAAAACCTTTCCTTCTAGACTCTAAGGTGCCCAATCAATACCACCCTTATAGTATAAACTTGATGAAAGTTGCCATGGCACTGCCACATGGACGATCTAGAAACAACCTGCCCGGAGGGCCAGCTGGATCCCAGCAGTTGAACTGGAGCTGAACTCCACCGACTGGAGGCCCTTCCCCCCTCTGCAGCCATCCAGCCCCTGCTCAGCATCCCAGTCAGTTCACGGCCTCTGCCCCCAGCCAAGCCTTTCCTGCACCCAGTGGACTCTCTTGCTGGAAAACAGTTCCAGGTGTCATTGGGGACCCCCTCCCCAACAGGTGCCCAAGCCTCTCTCCAACGAGGCTGGGCTCAGTTCCCACCCAGGGCCCAGGCCAGCCCAGCTGAGCACAGTGAGAACTGGGCTACAAGTGGAGTTCCTGATGGTCAACAGGGAGCATATGAGAAGGATGACCAGAGAAAGACATCACAGGCTCATTGTCACACTCATTGTCCCAGAGCAGCAGCCAGTCACAGAGCCGGGACGAGAACCCAGGGCCCTCGACTTTGGGCCCAGTCTCTGCCATGGGTTGGTCAGGCTCTGAGCCTCAGGGTCTCATCTGTAAACAGGGCACTGGCTTGTCTCTCTCTCAGTTTTGCCATGGGAGACAAGGCTGTGGATATTCAGATGCTGGAAGAAACATCCCAGCACAGAAGGCCTGCGCAGGAGATGCCTCCAGTGCTCACCTCTGCAGGGCCTGAGCGCCAGTTTCGGGGGCAGCAGATTTCAGCCAAACGCGGCCGCGTTTGCACCTGTCCTGGGACCTAAATGCCTCCGTCGCAGAGGTGCTCCTGATGCCTTGCTGAATCACGAGGTTTCTAACCTGAGTTTTGGGGAATCTCTTTACACTCTCCCTGACAACGCTGTTACTTTGGGTTAAAAACAAACTTTTGCAGCTGTGTAACCTTTAGTCGACAAAGATTGTCAGATCTGAATTCAGAAAATAACACTGTTCCAAACTCCTGTAGCTGAGAAAGCCCAAGGTGACAAAATCCAGGAGGGGGAATTGCTGTGAGCGGGGGATGCTGAAGGGAAAGCAAGGGAAGCTAGTTACATTTCATACTAGCTGGAAATGTCTGACTTCTGTGACATTTTGGAAAAACAAGCTGCAATAATGTCACCACTAAATTAACACCATTAAAGAAAAGTAATTATTAGTGTTGAGAATTATGGGCTCTAAGAATAATACTACATACAGTACAGCATCAGAGTGGTTAAAATCCCAGCTTCTAGAGTCAGCCCCTAGTTCGAATCTCCGCCGCCCTGTTTTACCCTGGCACGGTGTATCACTCAACCTTCCCGCAGTTCTGATTCTCCATCTGTTAAGTGGAAATAATGCCCAAACCATCAAGATAGTGAGGGAACAAATTAAATGAGACCATATACAAAGGGCTTGTAGTCGACAGAATAATAACCCCCCCACACAAGATGTCATTGTCCCATTCCCCCAAACCCATGAATATGGTAGCTTACATGGCAAAAGGAACTCTACAGATGTGATTAAGCTAAGGACCCAGAGATGGGGAGTTGAATTTAGATTATCTGGGTGAGCCCAATATAATATAACCACAAGAGTCCTTCAGAGAGGGAGGTAAGAGGATCAAGATCAGAAGAGATACGTTACCAGAAGCAGAGAGAAAGATAGATAGAAGAGTAGACAGAGATTTGCAGATTCTACACTAACTTTAAAGATGCAGGAAGGGGCCAAAAGCCGAGCAAGCCAGATGGGCTCCTGAAGCCAACAAAGGCAAGAGAAAGGATCCTCCCCTAGAGCCTCCAGAAGGAATGCAGCCCAACAGACAACTTGATTCTGGACTTCTGACCTCCAGAACTGAGAGATAATACATTTGTATTGTTTTAAGCCTCTAATTTTGTAGTAATTTGTTACGTCAGCAAAAGGGACCTAACACAGGGCTTTTGAGCCCACTTAGCACTGGGCCTGGCACATTTTAAGTTCTCAAAAAATGACAGCTGGTAATAGTAGTTATTAATATGTGGAGGGACTTCATGATTTTTCTGTGGCGAAACACCTTTCATCCCTCCCATGATGTCCCACTGAGGGACTTTCTCTCTCCACTCGGTCATGGTCCATCGACAGGCGCTCCTACCTCCCAAGCAGCCCATCCCTTGGGGCTGCTCTGAGATGGCTGTAGGGAGTTCCTTCTCACACGGACCTGAAATCTGCGCATCAGACCCCTATGAAATCTGCCTGGGCCTCTCTGCTCCTGACACCCTTCAGATAACCACAGACAGGTCTCAGCTAAGCCCACAGGCCTCATGGCTAAACTCTGAGTCCATTCTGGGCTGTGCTGCTTGGTGCCATGTTCCTGTATCTTTCTCTCAAACTGCAGCTACTGCATCTATTAGCCCTGAACTTGTGCAGGGGACTGTTTGAACCCACATGCTCAATCCTACCATTGGTCTGGTTCATCTCCTATCTGGGTACTCAAGCCCATTTTTGGGCCTTGTTGGGCCAAATATATTCCCTACATGTCATCTAAAGATTGGTTAAGTATTCACTAAGTTATCGATGTCTGCACCACTAGTAAAAATATCAGATGGAACCACGACTGCGGCCTTTCACTAGAAATTTACTTTCGCACTGACGTAGCTCAGCATCTTCGGGTATGGCCATAATACAATTTTAAATTCACCTACTACACATACCAGGCTGAAGTTACAATTACTTTGTCTTGTGCACAGATTTCTCATGAGATTCCTTGACAAATACTGAGCTGAGGTATGCTTTGCTTCTACCATAACTAACACAATTCCCTGACATGATAATCTAGCAAGCCTATCACAAAACTGGGAATATAGTTACCTTGTTGTGACTTGCTCTTAAAGAAGCCACACGGGCTTCTAGAGAATTCCCCATTTTTCACATGCTCACAAATCAACTTTAAGTAATCAACTGAAAGAGGTAGATAGGATAGCCCCACTTTTGGAATTTGTAGAATCATTCTCCCTCCCCATTAAGAAAAGCTACATTTTCCTATCTCAAGTGTTCCATTTTCTCTCCCAGTCTCCATGTTTCTTAAAGATTATCAGCAGAGACTCTACAGCGTCAGTGGTGAGTTCTCTACTCCCTGGAGTGTAATTTGTCCTGGCCAAGAGACTTGAGCTCATTTACAGCAGGTTGGTGCTTGTTATAATCTCTTTACTCATCTTGAACTTCAATTTTCTCTTACCACAGTTTTCTTTTTCTTTTTCATCAGTAGATTGCTCGCCTTGGCAAAGAAGGAGGAGGTAAAATTCTGCTTTCTCACTGCCATTCTAAAATGCAAATAACATCATGTTACTTGGTCTGCCACTCATGAGTGGTAGGTTCCTCTTTGCCCTACAGCAGTGACTCTCAAACTTCTCTGGGGTACTTGTTAAAAGGGCAGATTCTCCAAAGAATTCCTCTCTCAGAAGCCGAGTCAATTGCTGTATTAGTAAGGGTAACACTAGCTACAAAAACAAACAAACCCCCAAATTTACAACTGCTCAGAAATGATAGACTTTTGTTTCTTATTCTCTTGAAACTCAAATATTGGTGTTTCAGATCAGTGGGTGGCCCTCTCTAAACAATAATGCAGAGACTCAGGGCTTCCTCAATGTTGTTGACCTGCCATCCTCAACATGTGGCTTCCAAGGTCTCTGTGCTCACCTGCATCAACATGGAGAAAAGGACAAGGTAATGGAGAACATTCAGGGTATATCTTAATGGGTCAGGTCTGGAAATGGCACATGTTACTTCCATTCATATTCCATTGACATAAGTGCCCTTAACTGTAAAGACTGAGAAATAGAGTCTAAATGCAAAGGAAGCTGGGAAATGTAGTCCAACTGCAAAGGAGGCTGGGAAATATAGTCTGACTGCATATGAAGCTGGGAAATGTAGTCTAGCCCAGGAAGAAGGGAAAATGGGTAAGGTCAACAATCTGCTGGTGTGGACATAGGATTGGGCTGGGGCGGGAGGGCGGCGGGGCGGGGGGGGGGGGGAGTGGTGTCTGCATTCTCACAAGCTTCCCAACTGATCCTGATGTAGGACCCCACTTAGAGCAACACTGCCCTGTGCACCCACAGTGTAGAGCCTCTCTAACCCCATGTGCACTCTCCACCCTTCTCTAATTTTATGAAGCACCAGCAGCTTCCTCAGCCTGCTCTGCTCCCACACCTCTGTGCTTGGCAATTCTTTTTCTCCTGCCCTTCCTCCTATTGTTCATTTGGCAAAATCCTGCTCATCCTTCAGGACTCAGCTCAAGTGTAATCTCTTCTGTACAGCCTTCCCTGACCCGCCTGCCCCCGAGTAGTACTGGCAGTATCTCTTCTAATGTCCCTGCTCTACCTGCACTAAATCTCATTATGGTACTGATCCTGCTGAATGGCACTTGTTTATATGTGTGTGTGTCTTCCTGTTAGACTGGGAGACCCTTGAAGGCAGCAACCTTTTCTTAATTATCTTTGTATCCTCAGCACCTGGCACTTTGCCTGGTACATAAACTCAGTAAGAGTTTGCTTTACAGAAATTTTTAGTATTAGACAACTTCCCACCATCACCAGTCAGGTCCTTTCTTGATTTTCTGCTCATGTCAAATAAGAAAAGCTTTTTGGGGGGCGCCTGGGTGGCTCAGTCGTTGAGCATCTGCCTACGGCTCAGGTCATGATCCCAGGGTCCTTGGATCGAGCCCCACATCAGGCTCCCTGTTCCGCGGGAAGCCTGCTTCTCCCTCTCCCACTCCCCCTGCTTGTGTTCCCTCTCTCGCTGTCTCTCTGTCAAGTAAATAAAATCTTTAAAAAAAAAGAAAAAGAAAAGCTTTTTTTGTTATCCATACAATTTTGCTGACCTCAGTAATTAGATTTAATTAGGTCTGTATGACTTCTACACTGAGGCCCCCCCTCTCTCCTTTGCCAGCAAGGTGAGCTCTATCCAATAGCCACTCTGCTTTCATCAACACCTCTCACCTTACCATTTTTCTTCAAGAACACTGGCAATTATACATTAAAAATTCTATCAATAAGAGTTCTTGAGCCATCTTCCCTTTAGGGGTCTCATGTCATATCCTCTGAAGCCTGAATTCCTGAAATCCAGTAAAATACATCCTACTGTGCCCACTCATCCCCTCTCTGCAAATCACGGAAGCTGAGATGACTGCTGTGGTAGTCAGCCTCCAAGATGGCTCCCAGTGATCCTACCTCCTAGTATTCACAGCCTTGGTCCCTTCTCACATTAAACTTCTATTGGTCTAGATTGTTCATCCGAGAAAAAAAAAAAAAAAAAGACATTGCAGTTTCTGCCTTGTGCTCTCTCATGCTCTCTCTTGCTCTCTCTCTCTCACACACATCACTCGCCATTCAAGGAGAAACTGGCTGCCATGTCTTGAGGTGTCCCTATAAAGAGATCCACAGGGCCAGGAGCTGAGGCCCCCAGCCAACAGCCATGCAAGTGAACTTGGAAGCAAATCCTCCAGCCTTAGCAGAGCCTTGAGATAAGTGTAGCCCCAGATGGTGTCTTCCTGTAGCCTCATGAGAAATCCTGAGCCAGAACCACCCAGTTATACAGCTCCTGGATTCCTGACCCTCAGACACTGGGCAAGATAACGGATGTTGTTTAAGCCGCTCAGTTGGGGGGAAATTTGTATTTCCATAGCTAACTAATACACTTGGGCTTCTCTCTCTCATTCTAATTGAGCTTCTGGTCTCCTTTAGGTCAGACTTCACTGGCATGAGAGGTACAACCATCAGCTGGGGATGTCCAGAGCTTACCAGGGTATATGATTAGGTCGCAAAAAGGCACCACACAACATCCAACTTCAATTCTGGTTTTGAGATGTGTGTCCAGAATGAGCCAGCTATATCTGCCATCTAGCCATAGGTTGTGTCAGATTCCACACTGAGGACAGAGCACCTGCCCCTCTCTCTATGCGTCTGCATTAAAATTTTTAGCCTCGGGATTCACCAATTTTTACATCCTTTGTTGTTAGGAATATAAAAAACAATTTTAAAAGGAAAGTTAATGGCTTAGAACAGTGTCTGGCACACAGTGAGTGCTAAGCTAATACCAGATATTGTTGATATGTTCACCAGTAGTATGTCATTATTTTATAGACTGTCGCCCCAACTAACATTTCTGTTGCTTTTGAACACATACACATCTACAACCATATGTCGCTCTTGATTCCCAGGAAAAAGAGCCTTGATTATCAGGGTGAGGTCATATCTGCAACCCTTTTAAAACCCTAAGTTCAGTTTAATAGGATTCGTCTGCAGACTGGTATGAAAATATGTCAGGTCCCAGATATTGTTCTGACTCTCTCCAAGCCCTCCTAGGTTTCCCTAACCCACTTCTTCTAATGTTTAAGTTCTAGCTGTTTTTAGTGAAATTTTACATTAGCCAGAACTCTCTGGCTAATTTTGAAATTGACCTAAAGCTACATTGACATTATCAAGGGTTTAGACGTTAGCCAGAAGATACTTTTGCTTTCTAGGAAAATTCACAGCCACCTAAAGAAAACATGTCTGATTGGCAGCCCTTTTCCTGAATTGGCAATAAGTAAATCTATAAAGGATTGAAATGTTTTTTTAATGAAATCGTCGGGTAAATATTTTTCAAAGGTTTAGAAGTAGTGAAAAATGTTAACATAACAGGCCTGTAGTGTTATACTTTTCCACGTTTGTCTCCAAAGTCTAGAGGAGAAACCTTTTATCTCAACAATACTACATTCTTCAATTTATAACAGTCTCTGATTTTTAAGTACTTTCTATTCAAAACATCTTTTATTACCTAATACAAATGTGCCTTCCTTTATACAATCAGGTAACCTAACTCATGTGCCCTTTTTTCCCTTAGAGAGCCTAACTGTAGAACCCATTCATCTTGTATGCTTGATGCCTCTAACCCCACCTCCTCCCTTTGGGTTCTGTCTGTTCTATTTCCTTCCTAAATGTCTCCTTTTGCCCCATGTTTTAACCTGTAAGTTGCTCAAGACCTCTTGAAAGTAAGCAGATGACAAGTCTTAAATAAATAAAAATAAATGAATGTGTTTCTGACCAGTTGGATATGAACGGAATTTCTAATAAATCAGCCACACATTAAATATCAAAGGGAAAAGTTCACTTAGGGAAGTCCATGCATCCTTTTTGTAATGCAAACTGGCAAGTTCTTCTGTTATATCATTTTGAATTTTCAAATATCATATTTTCTTACAGCAAGATGCACCTGGACCAGATGGTGATTTTTATCACAGACTTTGGGCTATATTTAAGGCCCTTAGTAAATATTCAATAGGTACCCTGAGTTCAGGCCCTGTTGCCTCTGGTTCCCTGAGGACAGAGCCTCTGGGACCAATGTGTTGACAATCATGTTTCCAGTGGGCATGACCTCACAAATTCCTCCTCCCAGACCCACTGCACAGGAAGAGTATGCAGCTTCACAAATTCTAGTAGGGATAAGCACAAAGATGAAACACACAGTCACATATCCCAAAGTAGCTGAAACCATTAAGTACTTCAAATATCTCAGACGCCAAGAGCGTGTGGAGCTTCGTTCCCGACACCTCTGTCTTTGGGGAGAATAGTGAATTTGTCCCCTGGAGAAAGGGCTGCCTTTTGCTTGCGAACATGACAGGTAGCCTCAGCTTTGGGGATATGGAGATAAACGGCAACTCCTCAGACAGAGCTCTGGACCTGACCATGTTCATTAATTAGCTGATGAAAATGGGTTTTGCTGCCAAAGGCTTAGCACTGTGGTCCCTCTGCCTCCAGCTGTGCTCCCCCCACAGCCCATGTGGACCGTGACACCCTCTTGGGCAGCCTGAGTCCTGGCAGAGGGCAGAGAGCATGAGGGTCTCCATCCTGGAGACAGTCAAAGCAGGGCAGTCACCTGCCCTGGATGGTCAATGTCCTGCCTCTGGCCCAATTCAGAGCTTCAAAGTGACCACACTAATGACATGGTCCTGGTCCTAAGTTCTCCTGAAAACTCAGAGGGAGATAAAAGACAGTGGCACCAGTGGATTCTGTAGTCAAACAGGGAGCAGGCAGGCCCTTTACCTCTTTATTCTCAAAAACAGCTCAAAAATATGTGTACGCAAAGAACTATCAGAATTCTACCTTCGCTCAAAAGTCTCCTGAATTTTCCCTTTAGTGAACCTGCTTCAGTGAGTGAAAGAAGCCTCTAACACTCAAAAAAAATAAATGCTCCTTACAACCTATCCTACCAATCATTTAGGTTTTCTTTTTGTACTCTCTCACGGGGGAAACATTGGTCCCCTCTTAAATATGGAAAAAGTAAAGTGAACAATTCGCCACCCAATACATATGTATGGAGCAACTATTAAATCCATTTCTTTGACCATCGTGTTTGAAGAATCACTTTATCAATGGGAAGAGTAGAATGTGCTCTCTCTAAAACGCCCAAGCAGTGTTTCCTGTCAGTTTGGGAGTCAGAACCACCCAGGAAAATTGTGAGTGGCTCTGTCTAATTAGTACTTCTGCCACCTGCAAAAAAAGTGGTACTAAAAAAAGGTGCTGAATTCCTGCCATTGAGAATGAAAAAAGAGAGAGAGATACCACTGGTTTTATTCTGAATCTTAGACTCTAATCATCCATTGATTTGGGCAGAGAAGGAAAACACACTTTCATTTCCACCCAAAGGAAATGATTGCTAACAACGAGTTATGTTTCAGAAGCTATCATACCATGAGTCCCCCAGTCTGGGGATCCTACCTCCTCTGCCCTCCTGGCCCCTGCCTTCTGCTCTGGCTAGTCTGGGCTCCTCAGCCTCCCATGAAAACCTCCTCACTCCTCAGGTCCAATCTGAAACTGGCCTCCTCCAGGAAGCCATCCTGACCAGCCCAGTTCTTCCAAATCATCCCCTGGACCCTACAACACTTAGAGTCTTTCCCCCGCAACTAAGCGCTAAGTTATGTTTCTTGGTAACAACCACTGTTACCTTTAACCTCTATCAAGAACCAGAACCAAGTATTATTGTTTGGCTGCCTTGAACCCTTTTGTGAAACGAACTACCTTATACCTTCCCTGTATTCTGGAGCACCCAGCACAGAGCTGTACCCAGCGGCAGGAGGTCCTCAGCAAATGGCTGACTGAATGATGAGCATGTGCCTTTGTGATGCATCAAAGGGCAGGGTGGCTACAGTGAAAATTCAGCAGCTGTGACTTCTTGCTTCCCACTTTAATCAACACCATGGGGTTAAAATGCTGGACACATAGTAGGTACTAAATATATTTTTATGGATTGATTAACCACTGGGGTGATGACTTGCCTAGGATTTTTTTTTAATGCTTTTGATGTTAAATGGGGGTTTTAGTGGAGAATCATGTTAGAAAAACAAAACAGCAAATACAAAACCCCAACCAGCAGAGAGGCTGGCTCCTATTCTGTTTACACCCACTACACTCCTAGAAACAGATGTCCTCTCAGACCTGAGTGTTTCTGATGAGGCGTCCACTCTTTTAAGTGACCTGCGCAGTCAGTAATCAAAGAGATGTTTTGCCCTCTTCGACATCAGTTCCCTGTATCCCAACACTGATTTCCAGTTCTGGGTCCAGGACCAGCTGCTGATAAAGGCAAAATCAGCATCCACTGTGTCTATTTGAAGGGAAAATCACCAGGCTAATGACAAAAGAAATTGCATTCGTGTGTTGAGGAGCCAACCAGCCTCCAATTCCAGCTTGGCCATTTCCTGGATATGTGATTTCAGGAGATCACCTACCCTCTCCTGTGACCTGACTTTTGGGACTGGTCACACTAATTCCGCAGGTTGTTGTGATGACTAACAAGATTTCATGGGTAGAATACTTGGCGCAATGCTTTCGATGTAGTAGCCACTGAGTAAACGAACGTGTTGCTGTGGCTATCATTATAAATGTAAATAAGGAGAGAGGTCCATCTCAGCCACAGTGGGCACTCCAGGCAATCCTGGTGTGGCTTCCTCTGGTGCCTCTCTAGGGCACAGTAGTGGCTTTTCGAGTACAAAGCCCCGGTCTGATTGCACAAGTAACAGGGGAATGAATGCTCTAGAACATTCCAGTCTACTTCCCTGTGCACCGCCAGTCCACTCCTTCACATTCGTCCTGATCCCAGAGCTTAGCTTGGGGCATCTCTGTCAGGACAGAGAGGGCTGCCTTTTAAAGCACATTCCACAGGGCAGATCCTGTGCTTCATGGAGAAATTTGGGACCAGGACAGAAGTTCCCATGTGCAACATCCAACAAATCCCACTTACCACGCGAGAGATCCTTGCCAACCATGGAACATATTCCATATGCCACAGAGCAGGGCAGGGCATAACCCAGAAGAGATCACAAACACCAGCAAGATCTGTGGAGAAAAGAGAGGAGTTCCCTTACACAACACAAAGCAGATCCAGCGTATGTCGCCAAGACCCTGGGGGAACTGGGGCAGATGACACGAACAACAGTGCTCCAGATGAAATGGAACTCATGTCTAGGCCAGAGCAGATCCTTCATAGGCAGCTATGTCCAACTCCCAACAGCTCCCAGCAGAGCCAAGCCCCACTGCAGAGGAAGATCTGGGCTTCAGACTGTGGAAATCCTTATTTGCATTCAGGCTCTGGGGATGAAAGAAGGGTGGGCTGGAGGGAGGGTAGACAAGCCCTCTGTGATTCTAATTCACACAGCTTTTCCCATTCTACTGACAAGCCAAGCCGGCCCCCCACAGCGAGCTGCTATCTAGTTTGAACCCTGGAGGTACCGCAACACTCTGGGACTGGCACCCTCACACAGAGACCAAAGGTGGTCTTCTTCTGTGTAGATGGGGATACAACAAGGCTTCTCCCCTCTGATAAGGCCAGCAGGGAAACTGGGAGAATCCTCATACCTGTACCTATAGACGCCACTGAGGAAGGATTCGTGGAGTGTGTTTTTCCTTCTTTCATTTGAGGATCACTCAAAATGATCTCTAAGACATTATGAGTGCCTCAAATTGCCAGAACTTAACCGATCCTAGACCGTGCAAACCTTAGCTACACTTCCATGATGCCCACAGCTACACTGTCGGGTACGGCGCTGCTGCAGATCGTAGCCCAGTGGATTCCTACATGTTCACACGTGGGGGGTCCATGTGGATCATTTCAGAGGGTGGCTTCCTACAACAGGAATGAACACGGACTCACCTTGCCTTTACTCTCTTTGTCTTTGCCTTGCGTTGCTTGAGGTGTTACCTGTTGTTACCTGTTACCTACCTTTTAAAAAATCCCAAGTAATCCCCTTTTCTCCATTTTCCTATCCACAGCACTCTTCAATCACTGTTTATACACCATTTTAACAACTTAGCATTCAGGCCACATCTTCTCCTTCAGGTTTGTTGAGGACCCTTGGGGAGCTCTCCTTCCCCTACTCCCCCACTACACCCCTCTGTCACTCTCCCCAAAAGACACACCACTTTTCCCAGCTGACCCCCTCATCCAGGGTGGAGTCCTCCCCACGGTGCTTTGCCCTGTCCCCTCCCCTGTCCCCAGGCTTCACACACCAAAACTTTATTCCATTTTTTTTCTTTTTCCAGGAAATACAGTTACTCTTACACCAGTGTGCCATTTCCCTGGTGTCCTCATTCCCTGTCACTGACAGTCCTCCTGCTACCCTCAGTAGATTATTATTATTTATTATTTATCAGCCGCCACACTGTACTCTGCTTCCTACAAGATGTTAAAGAAGACACCAATCCCTGCACTGAGTTTACAGCCAAGGACAGCAAAGGCCTGGATTCAGACATCACAAGAGTGAAGAGCGCAGGGGATTTGCCGACCGAGGGCTCCCTATGCCCGGCGCCCCCAGAGGATGAGGGCGGGCCTGGCAGGGCCCGCTCCAGGCCCGCTCCTCCCAGTTCCAGCCAAAGAGCCAGCAGCTCCCTGAGAAATGGCACATTGGTGTAATAGTAACTGTATTTCCTGGAAAAAGAAAAAAAATGGAATAAAGTTTTGGTGTGTGAAGCCTGGGGACAAGGGAGGGGACAGGGCAAAGCACCGCGGGGAGGACTCCACCCTGGATGAGGGGGTCAGCTGTATGTATAATGTATAAACACATTACCACACCCCCTCCCCAATTGCTACCCAGGCTTCAGGCCTCTGCAGCTCCGTCAGGGGGAGCGGAGGGTGCGGGGGTGAGGGGAGGAGGTTGAAACCCACAAGCCCTTACCTTCAGGCTGGCGGTAGGGGCTATGTTTCCTCTGAAATTCAAAACCAGACGAGGGGGAGGTAGGGGAGGAAGGAGAGGTCAGGGAATAAAAACCAGAGCTGGAGAGTTACCAGGGAAGACTGGTGCTGAAATGGAATGTTCTGGCATAATGGAAAATCCCGCACTGGGGGCTGCCACGGGCCTCCAGCCAAACTCTTTCCTATTAGGGTTGACATTAGGGTCTGTGTGGACAGCAAGTGGAGACAGAGAGGTAAAGGGGCTAAGAAAGTCAGTGTAGACCGTGGTGGTATGTGTGTGTGTGTCGGGGGGGGGGGGTGTCAATGTAGACATGCAAGGCTGGTGTGGCCTGAGTAGGGGCTGACTAAACAGAGAGGTCGGGTGGATTCGAGTGGGTCAGTGTAAACAGGAAAGTCCTCGTGCAATGGGAGAGTCGAGTCTGGACAGACGAGAGGGTCGCTGGACAGGATGGGCGGGCTAGTCGCGGTTCCTCAGATTTGAACAATTCCTGCTTCTTTCCGTGGCTGGAGCGTCCTAGGGAGGGCGGAAGCTGAAAGACGATTGGACTTTTCGTGCTCAAACTTTCCTGCCAGTTTTCTCAGGTGTTGAGAGCAGCCGGGGAGCTCCCTCGGCCGCGTCCCCCAACCCCGGGCCGGCGGGGCCGGGAGGCCGGGGCCGAGCAGCCGGGGCCACGCGACGCGCATCCACCGGGCGCGGCCGCCGAGTCGGGCGAGCCGGGAGCCGCCGCGGGGGGGGGGGGGGAGGGGGACGGGGGCGCGGACGGACGGACAGACATACCCGCCGGCACTCCGGCCCGGGCCGGGCGCGCCGCTGCCGGGGATCCCTCGGGTCCGGGAAGCAGCGCCGGGTGCCCGGCCGGGGCGCCCCGCCTCCCCACCCTCCACCCCGCCCACTCGGGCGCCCGTGATTGGCTCCGCCCGCCCCTGGCTGCGCGCCGAAGCCCGCCTCCCTCGCCGCTAAAGAAGACGGTACCCGGAGCGGAGCGAGCCAGAAGGGAGCATGGTCCCCGCGCCGCCGCCGCCGTCCCCGCCGCCGCGGATCTAGCTGCAGCTCCAGCCCCGGCCCCGGCTCCGCAGCGCGCGCCCGCAGCCCCGGCGTCCGCCGCGCCTGAGCGCAGCCCCCGCCCGGAGCCCGAGCCCGGAGCAGCCCCAGCCCCGCGGCCGCCGCGGCTGCGGGGAGAGGGCGGGGGCGATGCTGCCGGAGCCGCCGCCGCCGCCGCCGCCTCGGTGAGAGCCGCGCCGCGCGTAGCCGCACAGGCTGACAGGCAGAAGGACTGACTTCCCTCTCCCGGGCATCCTCCCTGGGCTGCCGGGAGGCGGCGGCGGCGGAGGAGGAGAAGGAAAAGGGGGAGAAGGCGGAGAGCAGGAACGCGAGGAGGTGGACCTGGATCCGTTTCTCCCGGCCAGGACCCGAGCGGCCCCAGCTACCGCTACCCGCCGGCGCCGTCCCCTGTCCATCAGCCCTCCTGCGCCCACCCGCGACCCCCGGCTCTCTGGGCGTCGGGCCGCGGCCGGAGCGGCGCAGCCAGAGGTAAGAGCCAGGCTGGGGCGCCAAGGATGCGGCGGCGGGGACCCCGGGTCCTGGCGGCCGCGCGGGGCCGGGCCGGGCTTGGGAGCGGGGCCCGAGAACCCGAACGCTGGGCTCGGCTCCCGCGGCGGCCGCGGCGGCCGCGGTAGGAGCCTCCCGCGTCTGGACTCGCAAGGCTGCAGGAGCCCTTGCGCCTGCGCTGCTCCAGGGGAAAAAGGGGGGAAAAACTTCCTGCCCCCGGGTGTGTATGCACTGGGGCTGCCCGGAGCCAATGTCGCGGTGGTCGGGGGTGCTGGAGGCGAGTGTGACCCCGGCCCCGGCACCCCTGGCTGGGCCCGGCAGTGCGCGTTCCTCTCCAGGCCACCTCCCCGGAGCGGCCCAGGGCCCGCGCCGGGCTGGGGGCCAGGAGGAGGCACCGAAGGGCTGGACCCCGGGGGCGGCCGCGCGCCCTGCCCTTTGGGGAGGCGCGCGCCTCTGTGCAGCGGGAAGCCGGGTTGGGGTTTTGCCCCTTCCTGTCCTCAGACCCCGCATTTGGGGACTGGGTCTCTTCACTCAATCCCAAGTAACTTTCGAGGTAGAGGAGCTTGTAAGTCATGAGGAGGGAACCCGCACAGACCTGGTTGTGACCCCCCTTCCCTTAACACCTTTTGGGTGCCAGCGTGTTTGGGGGCGCGGAAAGGAGAGCTCATGGGGATGGTGGAGAGACGAGGATGTGGTGTTAGGTGGGGAGGGGTTGTTTATGTGTGGGATAGTGTGGACCCCGAGCTGTGCAATGTGGGAGTGTGGACGCGCGCCCCGACCCCGGTGGGGCTGCAGGGTGGCGGAGGGCTCACGTCCGGGTCTCCGTGGCCTGGAGCGGGCCGAGAGCGCGAGGTGTTTCTGCGGTCGCGGCGCGGGTGCGGGCGCTGGGCAGCGCCGGCCCGGGGCCCCGAGGGAGGGGCGCGCTCGCCCGGGGCCGGGAGAGCGGAGCCAAGAGCCGGGGCAGGTCCCAGGCAGCTCCCGGGGCAGGTCGGGTCTGCGTTAGCTGGGGAAGGCGGGGACGCGCTGCCTGCCGGGGGCCAGCCGTCACGGCGGAGGGGTGGGGGCAAAGCGCGAGTCTCGGATGCCTGGGTCCGCCAGCTGAGAAGCCAGTGGTTGTTCCTGGGCTCTGGAACCCAACGGCAGACAGGGTCAGTTGGCTGGTCCTCCCACGGGTCCCTGGGGATGCTGATGGGTAAGGAGCCGCCGCCTTTGCCATCCCTGCCGCTCTGCAAACGCTCTCCTCCGCGGCGAGCCCCGGGCGAATCGTGGACGCAGGTATTTGTGTAGCATTAGGCGAGACCTCGGCGCTGGAGGGACCGGACCGTTAAGGACGCCGTGCTGCTCCCGCCCGCGAAACTTCCACTTCGTCAGCTCAGGGACAGTCAGGCTCCACTGGTGCAGGCTTCAGCCTCTCATCAGCCGGGCTACGCTGGGCTACGCTGGGCTACGCTGGGATTCGGACTCCTCCTGCAGTGACAGATCTGTCCTGGTTACAGTTATATTTACCCTAATTTCGGTCTCTTGAAAGTCATCTGTCTGGTCCCTACAGAGTTCCTCCCCTTGCCTGTGGTCTTATGTCCAGCTCAGCCTGGGAGAGCATATTTAAGGAATTAATTCGGTGTAGGGTGAATGACATTTAATTAGCCCACTTCATTCCTGATGTTTTAAAAAATTATATTGGGGAAGCATAGAGCTAACTTTTTCACTCTTAGGGGGGTGAGGGACAATTTTACCGATTGTTCATCCTGGCACTTGGTAAAATCGTTGCCCTCTAATTAAGGGCTGCTTGGTACGCATGTATTTGAATAGTCACATCTAGGTGTTTATGCAGGTATGGAGCTGTGTGCCACTGATGAATATAGTCTCTGTCCCATGCATTGTTCTGAGTGCTCTTGATTTATCATCCTGCTATAAATCAGGGAATTACTAGCATATGTGTCCTTAAACTCTGTATGAATTTAATGACATTTAAACTGGCTTATGGGCTGATGCATTTAACCAATTTTAATAACTTTTCTGTACAAGCATCTTATAAACCATATTTGTCCATGATTAAGAAAAACATTTTCTTCTGCTCAGTCTCCCCATTTCTACACAGTTAACAGGAATTTACAGGTCTCCAACTTTCATTTGCAAGCAACAATCCAAACGAAATACCTAGAGTTGTACCGAAATTAAAAAAAAAAAAAATCCTATGGTAGCTATGGTAACAAATAGATTAAGGGTTATTGGTTTTCATCTGTATGTGCTTGCGGGGTGGGGGTAGATCTAGTGTTGTGTCTTTTTAATTATGTTTCTAATGAGTGGTGGTCATACTTCAAGTACCCAGTGTGGGAGATAAGCCAGACTGAAAATTCAGTTTTGTGAGAGGTTTATTGGAACAAAGACTAGTAGAGCCCAAGAGAATGACTTCTGCTAACTGCAGTTCCTCATATCCAGAAAGCAAATAGATAAAACCTTTCTTGTTTTTCAAGTAGATGAGAATTGAGTTAGTCCCTTTAAGATTAGAAAATGTATTTTTCTTATAAGCTCTTACCAAAGGAACCTTTAAATCAGCTCCTGTTTTCTAGGAATAAACATTTTAGAAGTGTGGATGTTGGTGTGGATTGAGTGTCAGAGTTGTTATCAACACCTGTCAGTCTAAGTGAGGCATATCATTAGTCTATTCAAATCTTGCCTATTTCAATATTCATGCATTTCCATGGTGATCCCTTCCATTTTTGTTTACTTAGTCAACCTTATAAATCTTTGGCATCAATTTCAGTTGTGCCGTCTTTTTTTTCTTCTATTTATCAATTGATTTGGCTGCAAATCATTCCCAGTTTAAAGCGTTTCCTTTTTTTTTTCCTGCTAGTTTCCAAAAGTTTACACTATTCCTGGTTACACACAGATATAAAGGGGTTAATTTTTTTTTTAATAGACTCAAATAACACCACTGATGCTAATGTAGTTTTTTAGCATCTTATTTGATAATGTATGTGTGCATGAGTATTTTTTTTTCTTCCAGCAGGCTTACCGTAAAGCTTTCTTGCTTTATGGCCTGGGGACATCAGTGCAATCCAGCAGAATTGACTAAAGATTTCTCCTTCCTTCCTTCCTCCCTTCCTCCCTTCTTTCCTCCCTTCCTTCTTTCCTTCTTTCCTTTTTTCCTTCTTTTCTTCTTTCCTCCCTTGCTTCCTTCCTTCTTTAGTTTTATCCTTCTAGGATCTTTCCTAGTAGTAGCAAAAGACAGAAGGTTCTGAAGTGTCAGAGGATTTTCCAAATACAATATACGTTTAGTCACAGCATATAGTATCCCTAGGATCGTTGTAACATTGTAAGCTCACTGACCAGGCAGCTTTGCTTAAATGCGAGCCATGATGTTGCTCACCCGCTTTCATTTTGCTTTCTAATGATGCAGTCCCATGCTAATCACACCCTGTATATTTCAGAAATATCAAGGCAAGCATTAGCACGCTACTGACTTATTAGCATCAAGCGAAGTAATTGGAACACTTAAGTTCAAAGTCGGATGGAGAAATGGAATTATAACCAACCTTGTGATTCTATAATCGGTCAACTAAATGCCTGCATGAGGGTAGGGGGAGGAAGAAGCACCATAACTAAGAAATCCAGCCATGGGTTGTGGAAAGTGAAGATAAACCAAGGCAGGTACCATGTAGGATGACTGGAGAACAAGAAATCTCTTTGTGAACACATAAATCACATGGAGACCCAAATGTTCAGAAAATGGAAGAATATTTGTAGTTTGTGCAGAAGAGGCTCATTTGCTATTACTCCGGAAATTGAGGGTCATTTCCCAGTATGCTAGAAGAATTGGGTAACAGAGTCACTGGAGAATACTTTCATCTGAAGTAAATTTTACCATAGAAATGGTCTTAATAATTTTGGCTAAGAAGGAAAAATGAGTCAGAATTCTTTATCAGCCTGTTGTATCAAAAATGATCAGAGATCAAGACCACTTTGAAAGCAGATTCTGTGGTTCTTCCTGGAACAGCTACACGCTTACTTTCCCAACACCCTAGGCCAGGAAGGTAGTCTATACTTTCTTCAAAGAAATCACTTGAAAACAGGGAAATTGGAGCTGCAAATTAAGGTGAGGTGAGTTGATCATTAGCAACACAGCTATTCGTGAAATGAACTTAATTGTCTTGGGGCATTTCCACCTTTAGGGTGGGAAGGGGAAGATTTCTCATTTCCCTTGAGAGAGGATATCTTCATGAAATTCAGATGGTTTGTAAATGCGTAACGGTGGCAGCAGATGATGATGCAGAAGCTAGAACAGAACAGCTGAACACTGTTAGGGCAGCGGATCGGGTTTGGGCCAAGAGGTCATCCCCAGACATTCAGAGGCTGCTATTGTCCCTACAGGTATCAATCTTTATAATTATCTTATAGAGTTTTGAAATTTTTTTAAAGATTTATTTCTTTTAGAGCGCACGCAAGCCGGCGGGGGGGGGGGGTGCTGGGGCAGAGGGAGAGAATCTCAAGGGGACTCCCCGCTGAGCACCAAGCTTGAGATCATGACCTAAACCGAAATCAAAAGTCAGATGTTTAACCGGCTGAACCACCCAGGTGCCCCTAGAGTTTTGAAATTTTTTTTTTTAAAGATTTTATTTACTTGAGACAGAGAGAATGAGAGAGAGAGAGCACATGAGAGGGGGGAGGGTCAGAGGCAGAAGCAGGCTCCCTGCCGAGCAGGGAGCCCGATGCGGGACTCGATCCAGGGACTCCAGGATCATGACCTGAGCTGAAGGCAGTCGCTTAACCAACTGAGCCACCCAGGCGCCCGAGTTTTGAAATTTTTAAACCATTAACTCTTTTAAGGATACACACATATACATAAATATATATAAAAACATACACACACACACATACAAACATATAATCTCCCACTTTTCTTTCTTTTTAAATTGTGGTTTAAAAACATAAAAACTTACCATCTTTACTATTTTAGGTGTATAGTTCTGTAGTATTAATAT